ATGTACAGGGGAAGTTATTAGAACCAATGGAATGTAAATAAGAAAAAAGAAAAGTGGATGAAAAAATAACCAGCCGTGAGCAGAAGGGCTGGTTATTTTTTCATCCACTTTTCTTTCTTCTTATCTTATTTACATTCCATTGGTTCTAATTACTTCCCCTGTACATTCCTTGGCATTACTGTCTGTTAGATCTCATTAATATTGTGTTAAACACGGAAAAACGAGCCCTTAGGTGTACACCTCTTTCATATATATATATATATATATATATATATATTTGTGTGTGTGTGTTTTGGCAATAGTGTCATTGGAATCGCAACGCAGATAACGGCAACCGAGTAGAGTTGACCAAGTTTTTATGTGGCTGATGCAGTTACTAACTTTGTAGTAGCACACTTCCAATTCAGGTGAGTACTACTGACCTACTAAGCAATAAGAGTTCGCAGAAATTCGATGGCCTACCAGTAACAATAGGGAAGTAATGAAAGCCCTAGAAGGCATACAAAGAAGCAAAGCCTCCGGCGAGGATAACATAACAATGAATTGACTGAAAGATGGTGAAGAAATTGTGTTACAAAAACTGACCCCCTTATACACGAAGTGTTCCTTGACGGGACGAGTACCAAATCTTGAAAGAACGCCATATCATCCTAATTCATAAGAATGGAGACGCCAAAGACTTAAAAAATTACAGGCCGATCAGCTTACTGTGCGTTATCTACAAACTAGTTACAAAATCAATAGATAATAGAATTGGTGGGGCATGAGAGTTATATCAAACAAAATACCAGACAAGCGTTCGTGTATGCTACCCACAATAACCCTATTCATGTTATAAATCAGGTGACAGAAAGGCACTGAATACAGCCGACCCCTATACATAACCTTCATAGATTACGAGGAGGCGTTTGACTCAGTCGAGCCATCAGCAGTATGCAGGCACTACGGACGTCAGCAAATCGACGAACGCTACATAACATACTGGGGGAAATTAACAGCGGATTCTCAGCCACCTTAGTTCTCCCTAAAGAAAGTGGCAGAATCCCCAAAAAAAAGAGAGTGTAGACAGAGATACACTATGCCGCAGAGCTCTTAACCGCTTGTTTACAGGAGGTTTTCAGGGCCATTAATGGAGAGAGTTAGGAATAAGAGTTAATAAACTGTATCTTTTAACCAGTGATTTGCTGATGACATTGCCTTTATGAGTAACTGAGGGGATTAATCACAGGTCATGATTACTGAACTGGACACAGACAGCAGAAGAGTAGGTTTGAAAGTTAATATGAATGAAACAAAGTAATGTGCACAGCCTCGACAAGAAACAGTTATTTGCAGTAGGCGGAGAAGAAACGCTGGAAGTTCAAAGGAATATGTCTACTTAGTAGACTAAGAACCGCGGAGTTCAACCATGAAAGTGAAATATATAGGAAAATAAACATGAGTTAGATCACATTCGGCAGGCATTGTCAAATCATGAATGACTGGTCTACCACTCACTCTCAAAAGAAAGGTATATAACAGCTGCATCTTGCCGGTACTTACCTATACGGAGCATAAACTTGGGGCTTGAATATAAGGTGAACCTAAATTGAGATTTGAAAGAATTTTTTGTAGCGCTAGGTAAAATAGGGAAGCAGGAAGGGATAGCCGGACAAGACAGAGTGCTACTAGCAACATTGTATTTATTTTTAAACTCACCACTTTTAGACATATTCGTGAGACAGATAAGCACGTGTGATCACTCAGATAAAGGTGGGGCTATGTCATATGCTTAAAATAAAATAAATCGTAACAGATCATACCATTCATCACCACGTACGCAGGAAACCAAGATTCTTGCTTGACAATGTTATCGAATGCTTGTTAATAGGATTATCGCCAAGAGCGTCAATATGTCCGACTTCAATAATGAAACACTCAAGCTAACCTAACACTCACGATGAACGAAATTGAGACGCACAGTCATTGTTTCATATGTTCACCCCCTGTCACCACAAAAGAAAAGGTGTCGTTTCGGGATAATATAGGGTGGTATTTTCAGTGCCTAAAAATTGGGAATTGTGCGTTATGGCAAATTCTTCTCGAGGGAAAAGGCTCTGGTGCAGAAAAATGCATGCACACAAATTTGTTGAGTGCAATCCTTTGTTATTTACAGCGTTCTGTTCTCGCAGGGAAGAACAATAAGTCGGCCAAACCAGTTTGTGTGAATGAGCGACTGTGAGAGCACAATTACAAATTGAATAAACTGCCGCCGGATGGTTTTCTCGCCTCGCCCATTCATGCATGTTGTGTCCGGCCTTTGTTCGCAATTGCAGTCATTGTGATCGACAAAAATGTGAGATGACTTGTTTGACCGTAGAATCCGGACTTATTGACGCTCTTGGCGACGTCTGTACTAGCAAGGCTTCGATAGCATCTCCAACCAAGGAGCTCGGTTTCTTGCGTATGAGGTAACACATGGTATTATCTGTTACGATTTATTTTAGGTAGATGACATAGTCGCGCATTTATCTGAGCGTTTTCTCGTGCTTATATGTCTGCCTGACGATTATGAAGTAAAGGTGGTCTGATTTTAGAAATAAACATGTTGCAGCTATTAGCCCTCTGTCTTGTCCCTCTACCGATCCCTGTTTCCGTATTTCTCCTAGCGCTACACAAAAATGCTTTAAAATTTATCACCAACAAGCCCGCAATGTCACTCTGGTTGATTTAAATTGAGGATGGACGCTACTAGCGATGGAAATGAAAATAAGAGGTGTAACCTTAGGAGACAAGAATAGAGCAGAGTATGTCAAGGATGAAAGCGGGGTTAAGGATATCATAGTTGAAATCAATAAGAAGTGAACATAAACCGGGACACAGGCAGGATAGCCCCTGGTTATTCAGAATAACTTACGAGATTCCCAGAGAAGGCAGACGCACGCACGATGGGGCAGTATTGAACATACTTATATCTTAGATACTACGTAAGATACTCTTTGTATATCTTGTATGTGTACCGCGATACGTCTATATTTTTATCTGTATTTCGGTTATATTCAGTAAAGTACCATGTATCTTAAGAAAAAAGATACTGCCATCGCAACACGATCAAGCAAAACATTGTACGCTGACTTCACTCCCCTTCTCAGACTAGTACTGGTGGTTTTTAACTCGGAGTGTTTCTCCAATTAGTGGTCTTCCCTGAGAAGAGTAGACTATTTGACATCACAAACAGCGCCACAGGTGGTCTGTGGTGGGTGCAACCAAGCGAGGCTTGGCATCGGCTTTAAGTGCATGAACTTTTGCCTGCGACCAACAGAAGCAATTTTTGCCGCCATAGCTCCGTTCCTATACACTGCGGGAGGAGAAGTCGATATCGTCGTTATCGAGGCAGCACATTAACAGAAGGCCGAGTGACGCTACAGCGCTTAAGTTCACTAGTGGCGTTCACCGACAGCAGTAGACTTCAATGGGCGTCGGGAATAGGGTGTCATGAGACATGTGCTTTGGTGTATATTAGTGTAACTTCGGTGAGACTATCTCGCCAGCCTAGTTTAGAAATTATGGCATCAAGGTATTCATGATAAGGCTGGCTATAGGTCCAAATGAGAGAACAGCAACATGAAATTTGTCCGCAGCTGAAAGCTGCGATGGTATGCTCTACTGCTTGAATCGCTAATGAGAAAGCAACAGAAGCTTTTCGTAAAAAGACGCGCCAAGTGCATTTTACGCGAAATGCAACATGCCGCCACATTTAAGTAGCCGCAGCAGACACTACGGCCCATGCTAAGAGTGGTTTCAGAGGTACCTTGTTTATTCTGTCACAAACGAGGCTATACCGTGATGAAGACTGAAAGGTACGTCGAGGACACTGGGATAGTAGGGATGTAAGCAAACACGTGCCCCATGCATTTGTCGATGTCATTATTGTCGTGAATACTCTATCCATGTGAAAATGCGGCGCATTTGCATGTAAAATATTTCCCCGTACGATGAATAATTGTTATAGGCGCGTGGCAACGGTTTTCGTCACGGACATCACCAGATATGCCTACATTTTGAACGTAGTATATAGCAGGCAAGGGTCCGGGGCACGAAGTGATTGGAATGAACCTCGCAGTTTTTTTTTTTTTTTTGGTGTTGGTGCCGAGATCAAGGCATGGTTATGACGCAGAATGGCGGCAATAGCGCTAGTTAAGCCACAGTGAGAAGTGTCTTTGCCGAGCTAAAGGCCACGGCTGGCAGTGCAGTTGTGGCGTATCGGCATACCCAACTGCATGTCGCGTCAAACAGCAGGAAATGTATATGCAAAAAATTCGCTCACGAAAAATGCGCAACTCCAAGTGACCTTTTCCACAGTGACGGGTAACGAGAAAAAAAAAACGCCACTTTCATGTGATGCGAAATGATTGCTAAGAACCATATAACGTAGCCCGTTTTTTTCCTATGGTAGATCACCCCGAAGAGAAAAACGTAACAATTTTCTGGGTGGTAAGGATACTGCCTTGTCTCGCTTTAGCTAGCGTTTCGACTGAAGTATAACGTAAATTAGATGAATGCGCTCTTCGATGGCCGCTTGAGACTCGCACTTAAGTGCCCTTATAATTTGCCGTAAGGGCCGCAGTTTTCTTGTCGGCGAGGATGTTAGTAACGTTGACGTAACGTTAAAGTAGAGCACTGTAGCTCTGACAACCTGTTTTCGTCGCCATCGGTTCTTGCAGTCCGAGCGGCATGGACCTGCGGCAACTGCCTTAGAACATTCCTCGCACCAGTCAATCATTACGATGCCAACTACAGTGCCTTTAGAACAAATAAAATAGGAGTATCCATTCGTAGAAATTGATGAGATAATAAGATGCAGCCGTCTAGAACCACACACGGACACTCAGACGCTCATGTACAGAGTTACACCTCGTTGCCCGAAACATAGCGTTTCCTATCGTGGGACTTTTCATACCGCATCTGACGAAATGCCCACCCTCAGGTGCATGGAGTTATGAAAGAGGCGAACACCAGAGACATGTTTCAAACTTTATTTCTCATGTCTGCGGCTCTCTCGCCTGGTGCATACGCGCTTCAGGGTGTCCCAGATGAGGAGTCGGACTTCACATGATGGCTAGCCTGAAACGAAAAATTGCGTAAAGGCGTCGTTAAACATAATGCAGTTACCGTTATTTGAAAATAAACGCTCATGTTTTTTTTTTTGTTCTGAAAGCCACAACATGATTATTGAAGACGTCACACAAGAGGGGGGTTGGAAATTTTTACCACGTGGTGTTCTTTAACGCGAACCTGAATCGAAGTACACAAGTTTCAAGCATTCCGCTTCCATACAAAAAAATGCCCCCATCTTTGCGGGATTTGATCCCCCTCCCCTCCCCCCATGTGTGTCAGCTGTCGAGTAGTGCAAACTAAGAGGTGGGGGGGGGGGTGCCGCGTAAATAAACTAAGAAGTACAAGGAATGTCAAATGTGTATCCCAAACAAGTATTATTACGATAAAAATGAAAGACCCATTTAAGAAGTTGCAGTAATAAAATACAATGTGCAAGAAACTATTCGAGATGATCGATTTCACATTTTCGATTCAGAAAGTGCTAAACGAGATACCCGAGTTATGAGTTTGCCAAAAAAAAATATAAGCCACGCTCAGGAAAAAAAACACTAAAGGAAAAGTCACAATTAGAAACAAAACTCCTGGGATATTTGCTAAATAAATCAGGACAAAAATGGGACAAAATATGATACTGTTCAGCTAAATATGTTTTAGTGAAGAAATTGTAAAAGCATAAAAAACAATATATTGTTGCACTTGCCGTGCCTCGTTATTGCTAGAGAGTGTACGGTCTACACCCATATCTAAGATTTCCTCTCAAAACTTTGCATAGAAAATAATTTAGGCGCCTGACTTCTTTAAGCGACCGACAAGACTAAAATACGAACAAGAGTAAAAGCAAATCAAGAGCAACTTCGCCAACTTTACGTTGCTCTGAGTAAACCGATACGCACTTCTTTGACATGCTCGCACCATGAACGCTCGACTAGATAGACGGTGCCGTACAAGAAGAGTTGTGCTTGGCATACACCGGTTATCTGAAACGAAAACACAAAGAGAGTTAGTAAAGACCGAGAACAACGGTTCGTAACACGAAGGAAAAACCTTCCAAGGCATATCGAACTTACTAAAAACGACGCAAGCGTGATTAACAAAGCTTGCGCAAACTCCGGAACGGAATGACCTCGACGAACGGTAGCCTATGCCTTTTTTCACGAATGGAGTTGCTATGACAGATTTAGCGCAACAATTTACACATGAAAATCCAAAATCTAGTTGGGAGCTGACAGATGGAAACACCTATAGTGGGTAATCAGAGTGAACAGTGAAAGTGTCTTTAGACAGGCTGGCCGACATTTCGATAGAAGGACCTACCTTTGTCAAAGGCGCCTTGTTGTCCTTGACGTGTTAGTAGTGAATACTTGAACGAGAAAACATACAAGTGTTTGTCGTGTGTTTTCTTGTTCATGTACTCACTATTAACCCCATTACAACGAACACGCCAAAGAAAACAAGATGCCTTTGAGAAAAGTATGTCCTCGTATCAAAACATCAGCCAGCCTGCCTGAGGCACTTTCACTGTGCACCCTTATCCCAATATACACATGAAGGAATTCAAGACTGATATGCCGCGGAGCCTAAATAGAGAAAAAAAAAACATTGGTTGACGTGAGTACAGCGGCCGATATCTCCGCGTATAACGCTTAGTATACCGACAAAACTTATGTAGCTTAAGAGGGATATGGTTATTCAAGCTAACTTCGTTATTTCATCGACGCAAGGTACTGAGAGAATTTTATCACGAGAGGAAAGCTGAAATGTCTACCTGAATAAATTTTTCTGGCGTGCAAATAAACGTTAAGTAAAGGGGATGGTAAAGAAAATAGAGAGAAGGTGTTGATGATCATGAGGACGAAGGCAAAGATGAATAGAAACCTTGAAAGCTTAGGTTACCGACAAAGTGTGCTGGTTGATCACTAATTTGTTAGTAGGACAGACTCTGCATTTACTTTGATGACCAGGTGTCATCAAAGTACATGCAGACCTGACAAGCAAGGCTGAAGTGAGCATGCGAGCAGCTTGTCATGTAAAACAAAGAATTTCAACACCACAGCGTAGGGGTCATGAAGTTTCGCAACTCAGCCTTTAGAAACTATCGGAATTGGGTATCTGAATGCAGTTGTGCTACTTCCCGCAAAATAACGTGTAGCCTGTTGTCTCGGTGATGAACACCTTACGTGAATGCTCATATTCCAGTGCATACAGGCTGCTCGCCAACCAAATCATGCGGCTCACAATCCAAGAGTATGGTTACTCCGCTATTACACTTTACAGACATAGCGCTAACTTATCACCCAAATGCAGACAGAGCCATGAATATCATCAGATGGTCACAGACCTAAGGTGTGTCTTTAAAGTAAATCCCTTAGATACCTCGTCAAACGCGAGAATGGCGCAGGCGTCCCACTTCAGTGTTTTCTGTAGGCGCTGGCATTGATGTAAACATAAAGATGTGATGACGTTGCATGTTGCTTGAATTTGTGAAGTCATCATGGCTCTATGCTCTCATTTCAACTGACGTCACCTGACTGCATCACATGCCATCACCGCTTGCATGCATGACGGAGGCAGTGCGAAACGAAGGAAGTTGTACAAGATCTCGGAGGCGCTGCATAACCACTTATGTATGAAAAGCACCCGGAGAGCGGCGGAACTGGATGAGTACGCCGATAAAAAAAAAGAAGATGCCTTTCATCTTCGAATGGTCATAGGCGGATGCACAAGGGATCATGTGGGTTTCTTATGTTGGCCGTGCTCTATTGGCACTGGTCAAAATACACTGAACGCAGCCCTCAGCAGCCTTCACCTCATCAAAAAAGCTGAATACACGCTTTTGAGATAGCCGGATTAGACAATGTCAAGTTCTAAAATGCTCGTTTATTGTAAATTATAAGCGGTTTCATCATGGCGTTCTTGGCAACATTATTTGGTCCGCGTAACAAGATACGATGTTGTAGATCGCGCAAGTGTAGATTGAGGCGTTGCTCAATGGCCTCATCAAGGCAAAGGTAGCCGGTAGTGAAGCTCCCACAGAAGCCCATGCGTCCAGGAAACGGAAGCTCATCAGCTGCCCATGGGGCTTAGCGCCATTTGCGTGAGGAGGAAAGACTTTCGACGGAACTAAATGTCAAACATATTACGGAAGATCCGGTCAAAGAGCGACGTCTTTTCTGGGCATACGCGCGAGATCTAATCTAAAAGTACTTTTTATAGGCCCTAGAACTCCAGGCACTCATAGTAAGGTGTGCCGTCACGTCTATTACGAATGCGCATCAAACAACGCCAGCTAAACCAATGTCAACCATCAGACTTGAGAGTGTCGAACCGCCGCGTAATGCTCCTTGCTTTCAGTTGTAAACTTATTCTTGCCATTTTTATTCAGCACTCAATAAATCTTCCACAGATGTATTAAACAAAGCAGCAGCGTACCTCACACATTTGCAGCGTTGTTGATTTGTTTTACACACATGCACGTAATTTAAAATGTAATTGCTTGTGTTATTCAGCTCTCACAAGAAAGAGCACTTAGTAACGGCAAAGTTGCAATTACCTTTTTCAATGGTCACCATAACGAGATTTAACACACTTCCCACATCGAGCACCAAGTATAAGCCAATAAGTATACAAAAAATGCCTGGACATTACGTGTGCTACGTTTCATATTACGCTCGCACAAATTATCGTGACGTGTAACGTATGAAGGTATGCAAATAGTAGCGCACTGGGTACCTTAGCGATCTGATCAACGACAACAGGAGTAATAGTAGGCCCAATGGAAACCGAGCCGCCGCAATACCGAGTCACGAAAATCGAACGAGCGCAGTTCTTGGTGTCTTGTCCAAAAGGTATGGGTCGCCTGGCGTTACCTTGTTGCTATTAAATCCTAGCACAGCATATCGCTTCAGCTGCTACAGAGGCGCATGCCCGGCGTGTGGTCCGCCTCGTCCCGTTGCCGGTTGGACACCGTACTCAACGCGATCACCAACGATGAAACGCAGCTCATAACTCAGCGCATGGCAAAAAAAAAAAAAAATCCCACCGCAGTAGTTCAGATAACGCATGCAGGTGCGGAACACCAGAACGCAGGAAAGGCCACGTCATCACAGACGAACTTTACGAGGTGCATCTTTCCACGCACAGCAGGGGCTGTAGCTACACTGAATATAGTTACGGGATGTGCTCTAGCAGAGGGTGTTTAGAAAAAAAAATGTTTGAAGAATTGGAGGCTTTCATGGATAATTATTTATCCCACAATTATTTATCCCCCCCACATAATTATTTTTCGGGAAGTAAATTTTATTTGTAAAACATGAAAATTGTGTCGCCCTTGTGTTCCCTCCACACACAGGAATGCTTCAATTGCCGTTCTCAGAAATACCCGTGCTGCGCACGCTGGCAGTACAATCTGAACCGCTATTCACCCAAAGCTTCTCGACCTATTTGTGTACGCCTTCTCAACACGCTGGTCTCATCATTTAGCCCCAATGCCTCAGCGGCCGCCCGCGTCTACGTACCTTGCTTGTCGCTGCTGCTTCTTTAGCCTCTCTTTTTGTAGGAAATTGGTGCACTGACGCTTAGGCAGTGCAGGTAGCGGCTGCTTGCATTAATATTTCAGCATTCACGCCTAATCAATTGCTTCGTCTGACTGCGTGTTTGAGATCTAAGGTACTATGGTTTTGGCTAGTTATTCTGACATCGGAGTGACCAACTTTGATCACCTACTATCAAGTGACGTGCCGTTTCTAAAGAGCTAGACGGTATACAGAGAAGAATTGTATGGCTCCCTAGAAAATGTTCATATGAATATACAATTAGTCTGCGTTGAATTGGATGGTATGAAGAAAACAGCCAATATCACTGCAATGGCAGAGCAATGAGTGCGATATGACAAATTGGACTGCTACAAGAAGAATGGCAAGCAAATCGAAATGTGCAGCATGCTGTTCACGCAAAAACGACGCACAAAAATACAGAATACGAGAGCGATCTAAAAACGTACTCAGTTCTCACATAACACGCTGCCCATCAAAATCAACTCCAAAGCGTACTGACAGGTATAGGCTGGACGAGCGCGAATCAACAAGGCTCAGTTGTTACTTCGCTGGGTTTGAATGTGTGCTTCTTTCAAAAAGGGGGGGTGGACTATGGCGAGTGAAGCAAGCTTTGTGCCCTCAGTAAGATGAACGCAATCGTTTCAGTGAAAGCTGAACACGTATGATGCTCCCCGCACCGCAGCATAAGCGCACATGGGTGTATTTTTTCTCTTTAGGTGGTGGAGGAGGGAGAAGTTGCGCATGCGTGGTAGATGAGATGAGCGGGGTGCTGCGCGGCCCCTTTGCGCCATATCGCCAGTACTGCGGAGAAAACGGTGATATTTTCCGCGAGATCGACATACCACCAACGGTAGGTGGCGTACATAAATAGCTCGACGTTTGAAAGTTGAGGTACGAGCGCTGTAAAAGTTCAGCGGTTAAAGTCACAGGCGGTGGAGCGAGAGGTGTACTGTTTTTCGACGTGATAACCTATTTCGTGGCTTTAACAAATACATGTATACATGTACGGAGAGTGATTGACATGAACGGCGAAAAGCAGCTTGGAGTGTGCTTAAAACATCTATCGGAATGAAAATCTACAGAGCGCGTTCAAAGATTACAGCATAAACGTCTTGGTGCCAGAGGTTCTTACCTTGTCGTTCGCTGGTGGACACATATTAGGGAAGTAGTAATTCCAGTTCTTGCAGTCACCAGGCGCGGTCAAGAACTCCAACCGAAGGGTGCACCCTTCATCAGCATGCCGTGGGTACTTTGAAAAACCAAAAAACAGAAACGTTAGTATGAAGATGATCAAGCTTGATAACGTTATTCTAGCACACCTTGTAAGCGTGGTTACAGCCACTTTATAGCTGTAACCGGCACCATAACTTCGGCACCGAACTATATAGAGGAACCGTTTCATTGAAACTACTGCTTCAAATATGCCCATGAAGCAGAACTGTGCAGTCCGCACCATCAACTCGGCGGATAATGAACGCCGAAAACACAGGAGGAGCGAACCCGTATAATGAAGTTAGTGCGATGGTTTCACGAGGTGAGAAGTGTTCATCGTGGCTTCCTCAATGTAATTCAGCAGGACACGCTGCCGCATCTGGTCACCGAGACGACGCCTTAGAACAATGTTTATTCTTTTTCGGTGGTCAACAAGAAATTGGTCACACTGTGAATTCAAGATGTTTAAAATATGATAGCTGAAGAACTGCGAGTTCTTGGGACATTAGGTTTCGGGTATTGGCCACACGTACGCTGCTTTTAAACAGGGACAAGAATAGACTTCGACGAAACCAAGAAGGTCCCTGTTACCAGTGTCTCTTTTGGCACCACCAAAAGAGCGCTACTTGATCACAAGGTATAACAGTAAAAGAAGCATCTCATTGGGTCTGCGATCAACATAAATAGTGAAAAAGAACAAATGGATGGGATTGAACAGTAATAGATTTTTACAATCATGTATGCAGTGGCAGAAGCACGTAGGAAGCACATTTGAATCTTGAGAACACGATATGCTGAGAATATAAAAATAAAACATACTAGCTTTTATTGATAGTCGAGCATTGTACTATCAATTCAGCAATGCATATGTTTGAATCGATTCTTTTTGTACCATGCGGCTCAGGGTAAGAAGTTGAAGCACAGATGGAAAGAAACAGGTGTTATCAATCATAGCTGAGCAAATAGCTATGGCAATATACAGAAAAAAAGTTACAGAGCAGATCGCATATCAATGAAAGCGAGGATTCCAGTTGGCAGCCTAGGCAGAATAAATACGATGAGAGCTATGATGAGAACTACATGTTGTAGGACTACCTCTTACTTGATATCTACAAAGAGCCTAGCAAGTCACCTACCGTAGTGGTGTAAAGCATGGATATGGCGCTCGACTACTCAGTCATGGGATCGAATTCCGGCCTTGACGGCCGCATTTATTTTGCTTGCTAATATCATACGACCGTGTACTTAGATAAAGGCGCTCGTTCAATAACACCAAATGGTCAAGAAGTTCTTCGCCGCTTGGCTGCGGCATGCCTCACAATATCCTGTCTTCTGTACGCGCCTTCGCCCCTACCCACAGAAGAATAAAGTTAGCACACTCTTCAGCAACGTAGGCTGCTAAAGCTTTTTTATTGATTAATCAGTTTGGATGAGGCCAATAAATTCACTTTCAACCGGTTGGCTAAAAGTTTCTGCATGTCCGAACAACCGCATAACAATACCTTTAGCATACGTAGTTGAATCTTGACAAGCGAGCTTTTTTGGCCACGGTGAAATGCTGCATCCTTGGCTGCTTATGATAAATTGGCGTGCTCAAGAAAACGACACCATAGCTACCACATCGAGCGCGATATGCACCCAGGAACAGTTCTAAGAAATGGAACGTGGGTATTTGCTCTTGCGACTGCAAGGCATTGAACCAAACTGTGACAATATTTGGAGTTTCGCGCCGTTAAACTACGATATGATTGATTGATATGTGGGGTTCAACGTCCCAAAACCACCATATGATTATGAGGGACGCCGTAGTGTAGGGCTCCAGAAATTTTGACCACCTGGGGGTTGTTTAACGTGCACCAAAATCTGAGCACACGGGCCTACAACATTCGCGCCTACATCGAAAATGCAGCCGCCGCTGCCGGGATTTGATCCCACGACCTACAGGTTAGCAGCCGAGTAGCTTAGCCACTAGACCACCGCGGCGGGGCTACGATATGACGTACACCGTAGCGGAGAGCACCAGAATTTTCGACCACCTGGTGCTGACATTGCAGGGATCTCTACCGTTTCGCCTCGATCGAAATGCAATCGCCACTTCAAGGATTGAACCAGCTGTCGTCGGGTCAGCAAACAAGCACTGTAGCCACTGCTCTACCGAGGCGGGCTGGCGTACAATCGAAAGGGGAACGCTTACCTTCAATGCAGCACGTGTCACATTGTAGACTGTGTCCGAATATTTCTTGTCCAACTCATGGTGCTTTCGCAGAGCACCCACAGCGTACATTCTGTACTCCGCTTTCTTGGTCCGGAGGTCTTTCTTAGATACCATTATGCATTTGTTCGGCACAAACTGGTTTCCCGAACTACGCACGCAGTTTTCGAAGTAGTTTTGCACTTCCACGCTGAAGACAGCCGTGCAGAGCAGCAGAAAAACGGTGAGCTTGAACATAGTAACCGAGCTGTCTGCTTTTTTTCGGAGAGAACTGGTCTTGCCGACATTGATGCGGTGAACCGCAGAACATGCCAGCAAGTTGCCCCGCTTTATAAGGCTTTTGTGGAGGCGGACCTATGCTTCACAGCGGCGATGGTGATGACTACAGTGATAGGAAAGATTGTGACGCGGATAGCGAGAAGACCGTGTTATTTTAGTGAGCCACGTTTTCGTTACACACACATTTAGAAGTTCTGAAAATCGCTGACGAAGCACACTGGATGCGCTCTGATGTTTCTGATTCATGCGCACGTTTCCACATGCAGTCACAAGAAATTGATAGAATTCCTCGATAATATTGTGCACAGGGCCGATGCTTGCCTTCTGAGAAAGTTTCTTTAAATGCAACTGTGCAGAAAGCGTGTGCATAAATCGTGATGTTTTTTTATGTCCTATAAAATAAACGTACACTAGAGAGGCCCCTTAAGTGACGGCCGCGCATGCGGCTACTACGGGGTAGAAATATTGAAGTATTTGCGCAGGAACACGGGGACAATGAGGACGAACAGAAACAGGCACACATATATTGCGCCCGTTTGTTCTTCTCATCTTTGCAATTTCGTTGCAGTGCTCCGACAAACAGACAGATGGAAGAGGCAGCAAGGACAGCGCTTACTCTCACAACTGAAAATTAGAATTATGAACACAATCCAACTTGTCTAACTTGTCATCTTCTAGTGTTTCTCATCTTTGTGCTTTTCTTCCTGCGCAAATGCTTCAAGATGAGTATGCTACAATTATAGACCAAGTCGCAGTTTTGTTAGGGGCGTGTATTAGGCACCTTGACGCATGCGCAACATGGGCATGTTCCGCATAGCGGTAAATTTGCTTAGCAGCAGCTGTGATGGCTTTTGTGGTCGTGTGGTTAAGATATTATTGTCAACGTGCCACTTTTTTTTTTTTGCAAGCTTTAGTTGCAGCAGTTCGACTAGAGCAGTTCAATCAGTCGAGGTGCTCGCGTACTTTTCCTATATTGAAGAAAGTAAATGACCACAACACGTATGGGCGTTTTTTCCTTTAGAAACGAACATAGTTTGCCACACTAATTCCTCTCTTTTGGCGGTAACTGCGAATGAAGGAACTGTTACCTTCCTCCGCGCAGTTAGAAGCTACTGTTCATTTTCGCGGCTCATTTCTACAATATTTATTATGATTACAGCATATGAAAGGAGAAGCAATGGTAAGCCCAACGCGCAGTGAGCGTTATGAATGACTCTAACTTTGAGCAATGCTAAATCGTCACTGTATCACAACGCGAAAAGTATTACGAACGATTTTTTATTCATAAAGCCGGCCCTAAGCACTAATAATTCGTGGCATTAAAAAACAGATGCCAATTAGTTTCATGTAAAAAGTGAAGCAATGTTTTTAGAACGAGGGAAACTGGTGACGTGGCCATGTAAACTGAATGCTAAAGGAAGGTTTCATCCCAGGTGCTTCCGCACCGTGCCTACAGTAAACAAATCTCAACATTACGGTGCCAAATGTTGCACTCCCGTACCAAATCATAATCATCAGCCTGACAACGTCCACTGCAGGACAAAGGCCTCTCCCATGTTCCATCAGTCAACTTGGTCCTGTGCTTGCTGCGGCCTATTTATACCCGCAAACATCTTAATCTCATCTGCCCACCTCACCTTCTGTCTCCCCCTAACCCACTTGCCTACTCGTATGCATGTGGTAGGTAGTGCCAGATGCCGCACCAGGGTGGCCAATCCTTTTCTGGTGAGGGAGTGCGTTGCCGGCAGGGGTCACCGGTGAGGCCACACCCCAGGCCTCTCAACGCAGTTCCATCGCCATGCGGATTTTTTTTTATCCGGTTGGGAACTGCACGGCACCGGGATTCAAACCACGGACCTCTTGCGTGCAAGGCGAATGCTCTAGCCACTACGGCATCGCCGCTATATTCAATACCAAACATAATTGATTAAATTGTGATGTTTTAGCTAAAATGAACCGGACGATTGTGAGGCACAGAATATTGTGGTACTCTCCCGAATGAGGGGGTTTTGCGTTTCGAAACCACAATATTATGAAGACCTTAGGTGAGGGCTGCAGAAAGCTCAGTAATCTGGTGTTTTTAACGTGAACAGACATCGCACAGTACACAGGCCTTCACAATTTCACCTCCGTCAAAATGGGACCACGTCGAGCAGGACCGAAATCGGGACCTTTGGTTCAGCAGCCAAGCAACGTAGCCACAGCTCCACCCTTACTGACATAAGACCCCTCATGAACCTTGACAACGTTCAGGGTTGACATAAAGTGCACCCAACACTCTTAACCGTCTTCGAGAGTATCTGCAGCAATGAGCCTATAAGGGCATTTTGCTCCAACAAAGCACGAGCTGTGTGCAAAAGTTTGCACTAGAACGGCAGAAGGCCCTCACCACCCTTGTGGTGATGAACACACCCTTTTTCAGAGCAACTGCAGAAATATACGCACTATGTGAAAATGTTCTAGGATGAATGATTTGTCCCACGTCGCAAAATGAAAAAAGTATAGCGATCAAGTTGTTTGGCGGGTTCATATGTAAATCATTGTTTGGGGGGTGGGGATTTAACATGTTCAACGCACACGTCAGCGCAGGAAACACAATTAACTACTATTTGCTGGAGACACAAAACTTAAGGTACTAACCAACAGCAACATCTCATTAATTTTGTGCCTAACAATGAAAAACGAGGAATTGAATTACCGCCATTTAAAAGGGGTGTGATAGTTACTACACCGCAAGTTTTTTTAATGTCTATTGCTTTCTTTTATTTAGCAAGTGAGCACAACACTGACATATGATTGCACAAACCTCTCTTTGCACGTGCACGTATTACTATCTGGTTACGCAGGCTTGTTGCGCGCAGATCTCGTGTCTACATAACCACTGTATCAATGAAGCAAGATCGAATTCCGGAGACCGCGTCAAATCACTGCTTAAATCACGCTGCATCACGTTAAACCTCTCCAGATTTTGGTAATCCTCTTGAAAAACATTCGCTTATGAATCTTTCCCATTCGGCATACAATGTCTCCCTACTGATGGCGTGCACAGTGTTCCTCGTGTCGAGAAGAGAAGGGCAACTTTTGCCATAACGCCGTCCCCTTTATTTGGAGGTCATACGCAAATAATCTTGGTAAGGATTGGATACAAGAAATAAGTGAAGTGCTGACTGGCTTTTCGTAGCGATCTGCTAGACGCGTAGCCAGAAATTTTTTCGGGGGGAAGGGGGGGTGGCGGGGGCACCACCTTGATTTCGGGAGACACCCCCTTAAATTGGTCATATTTTGCTCTTTATACCACGGCGAAAAAAATTTAGGGGGAGGGGGGCTCGTGCCTGGTGTGCCACCCACTGGCTGCGCCCCTGCGACCTGCCATCGGTGCCCGATTTACTGGGCGTGAAGGTTTGAAGTACAACCCAGGAAATTAAGCAGGTTCCTCGACCCCCTGATCGCGAAAACGATTGCGGGGACGCAACCTTGAGCATTGAACAATAACGAGGGGGGGGGGGAGTGTTTATGTTTAGAAGAAGGAAAAGAAAAGAAAAGTGAGCCCCGCAATTGTCTTCATCAGGGTGCGACACCTCAGCAGTAGCTCACAAGGGATGGGGATGAGGAGGGATTAAAAGGATCGAAATAAATGTGTAGAGGGAGAGAAAGAGAGATGAGGTAAGCCAGAGATAGCGACGACAAATCGAGGGGATAGGAGAGATAGGAAAGGTGAAAACACGGTCACAGGAGTCTGAGGACGGGGCACCACTTGCGAGAGCTCTTGTCGACGTCAGGAGATGACATAGAGCAAGTCCAGTCGGTAAGAGCTACGCTGTTGTCGGAGGTCGGCGCCAGGAGATGACGTAGGGTGAGGCCAGTCCGCCAGAGCTACGCTGACGCCGAAGATCGCGAGGGCACAACCAGTCGGCACGGAATCCAGCAAGCGAGTCCAACAATAACGCGACAGGCCCAGCAGCGAAGAGTTAGGGGGTATAGTGGCTCCCCTTTTTAGGCAATTGAAATGAGAGTGGAGACCTCCTTCACCCTCCTGTGTGCTCACTAATATGTTTGTTGCACTAACGTCTCAGAAAGAGCAAAGACCCTATAGGTGCCTTACATAACGCTGTTTGCGTTCAGACATCGCTATGCCGTCGAGTGCTGTAGTCATGCAAAAATTTACAAGACGTTATGCCTGTTGCGCACAAATCCCGTGTCAACATTACCACTGTAACTATAAAGCAAGATCGTATTTCGGAGACAGCGTCTACTGATAGGGTCATGTTGCTTAACTTTAAACTTCACAACTCATGCCGTTGAATTGATGCATGTATTCCACAGAAGTAAAATGTAACATACCTAAAAGGGAAGCGAATGACTGCGCGTCCATCAAAACGCCTGTGCGAATCCTCACAATCATTGCCTGTGGAGATTTGGCTTGAGGAAAAAGGTATTTAGGTACCTTAGTTTGTGAGCTGTTCATTATGCAAAAAGTTTGATACAGTTGAACATACATCTATAGAATGTTTGACGAAGAGTTTTAGTGTGTTATTTCACAAAGAACTCTAATGTAGGGCCTGCACCGATTAACAGATTGCGCATCTAGGAATTCGTTTTTTGCCAACATTACATTGTGGCATGCACTGTTTTGTAGGACCTGCTTGACCTAACCTAACGTAACCTAAAGGTTATGAGCACACATAACCTAACGTAACCTAAAGTTTACGTTAGGTTAGGTGTGCTCATATGCTTTTATTTATTTATTTAAAAATACCTTACAGGCCCTTGTTGCAGGGCATTGTGTAAGGGGGGTTACAAAGGGTGAGTGTCGCGACAAAACCGTAAGGAAACTTCAAACTTTGAAAGAACTCAACAAAAAATAACGCCAGCTGCCAGCTGCTTTACTGGCATTGATTGTGGTAAAGCATAAAGTAATGCACTATGAACTAAATCCTAGGCCAGCAAGGAAGC